TCTCCTGTATATGGGTCATACTTTTCCTTCTGCTTGCCTCAAAATTTTATATTGAAAAATTAAAAGAAATCTAATATGGCAACTCTGGATATCAGACCTGTTCTCCTATTGGGAGACAGGTCTCCCAACATTGTTGTCTTAGCGACTTTTCTTAATGTTGTAAAGTCTGTATTCTTTGCTGTGTCTGAACACTGAAGTCTCTGTCTAGTTAGCTTAATGACTGAACAGATTATTTCCTTAAATAGCTGAAACTTCTAAGTCTTCCACTCTTTTCCAAGGGTTATGTGTGCATGTTGGGGGCCTAACTTTAACATTCAGATAAGCAGTTAACAACTGCCTTAAATCGTCACTTCCTGCTTGCACAGAAGTTCATGATCAGCTAGAGGTGAGAGTTTTAAGGCCCTTTCTGAGCATGTGCACAGCCCTGAACATGTGTGTGGCCTTCTGGTTCCAAGGAATACACTGGAGGTTTTCAAAGACCTTATTAAGAATCCATTCCTCCAATTTTCCTTTTTTGATCAGTCCCTAGTACTTTCAGGGCATTTCCCTAGAGAAGCTCAGTAAGCATTAAAATTTTAAGGTTACTGAGCATACTGCTAAACATAATGCTGTATTTAACTGCACTCACATTGGAGTGAGCTACTGCCCTGAGACTTCCAGTTTTAAAATCAAGGGTTTAAAACCAAAGGGTTTCCAGACCTGGGGCATTCAGTTCTCAGACCATGAATGTTCTGGGTGAACTAGGTTGAGTTGGTTGGTTCCCATACTTAAGCAGTGTGTCAATGACCTATATAAAGTGGTTCCAAATGGACAATTTAAAAATGTCTATTCCTGAACTCTAGGCTAAATGGAAATTTATTTTGACATAAAGTATGAAGTGAGGCTCTAAGCTAATTTTATTTCCCTAAATAACTAGGTAATTTGTTCAACAGTATTTATCTTTTAAGTCTATTCCTTGCCACTAACCTTTCCTCATCATACTATAATTTACTTTAAGAAATTACAGTGTGTTTTACAAACAATAAAATGTGGAAATTTGAACAGCTCAGCTGAAAGGATTTTGCTAATAGTATAAGTCATGAAACCATTACCTCAAAGAAGACATGTATCTTTTCCATTGATGTTCAACTGTACAACTTTATAGTCAGTCCCAATCACTGGCAACTACTTTCTGACTTATAGCCCCACAAATTAGTGTTACCTGCTCATGATTATCATGTAACTGGAATTAAACAGTATGTATTTTTGTTTATCTGTTTTGCTCAACATACTTGTTTTGTGTCTTAGTAGTTGTTCACTTTTATTGCTGAGTAGTAGTATATTGTGTAAACATGCCACAATTTATTTAGCAATTTTCCTGTTGATGGAAACTTGGGTTATTTCAAGATCTAGATTATTATGAATAAGGCTGTTAAGAATCTTTCTCTCAAAGTGTTTTTGTCGATGTATGCTTTCATTTGTCCTGGGTAAAACCTAGCTGATAAGTTTAGTTTTATGTCTAACTTCTTAAAAACCTTCCTAAAAGGTCTTGTAGTGACACACCATTTTACATGTCCACAAGTAGTGAATGAGGGCTGCAGTTGCTCCACATCCTCATCAATGAATGTTGTTATTTTTTCTTTTGTCGTTCAACTAAGTGGGATATAGTATTTCATTATGACTTTAAGAATACCTATTTTTACCTAGGCATAATTAATCCTTTTTCATGTATAGTTGAGTTTTGGTAAATGTGAATTTCATGCAGCCACCCACAATCAAGGTATTACATCACTCTTATCCAAATCCCTACACATTTCTTTATTCACTGTGGTTTTTACACTTCTCTGATGCCTAACTTAAGTACCTTTTCACATGGTTATTGGCCATTCACATACCTTTTTTGATGTGTCTGCTCAGGTCTTTTGTGCATTTTTAATTGGGTCACTCATTTTTTTTTTATCATTGATTTACAGGAGATATTTATATATTCTAGATACAAGTAGCATGGAATATATGTGCTGAGAATATTTTTTAACCACTGTGTGGCCTACCTATTTGGTTTTTTTCCCCTTTCTTCTTTTTTTTTTTTTAGACACAGTCTTGCTCTGTTGCTGAGGCTGGAGTGCAGTGGTGGGATCAAAGCTCACTGTAGCGTCAAACACTTAAGCTGAAGTGATCCTCCTGCCTTAGCCTCCCAAGTAGCTGGGACTACAAGTACCCACCACTATGCCTGGCTAATTTAAAAAAAAAAATTTTTTTTTTTTTAAAGATGATGTCTTGCTATGTTGATCAGGCTGGTTTCAAACACCTGGCCTCAAGCAATCCTCCTGTAGCAGCCTCCTAAGTCACTAGGATTATAAGCAAGAGTCACCTCAACCAAAGTATCTGGTTTCTTAATGGCATCTTTTTTATGGTTAGTGTTTTATGCATTTTGTCCAAGGAACTGCTGGCTAGTCTAGGTGTGCAAACATAGTGTCTGACATTTTCTTCTAGGAAGATTATGGTTCTGAATTTTACATTTAGATCTATAATCCATCTAGAATTAAATTTTATGTCTGGAGCAAGACTGGTTCAGGTTTATAATTTTATATACAGATATCTAGTTATTAAGGCACCAAATGTTAAAAAGACTTTCCCTTCTCTCTATTGAACTGACTTGGTGGTCCTCTGATACTATTTAAGAAATGAGTCTAATCCACGTTCACTAAGCTTTCCTTGTATGTTTTCTTTTAGAAGTTTAGTTCTATGGTCCATTTCAAGTAAATTTTTCTATATGACATGAAATAAGAAATGAGATTCTTCTTCCTCTTTTCCTTATGTCTACTGGTTCTATCAATGAAAGAAGAGGGCATTTAAATCTCCAAATGTGACTGCAGATTTGTCCATTTCCTTCCTTGTTCTGACAGTTTACACTTCATGTATTTTGAAAGTATTATAGGTATGTCTTCTTGATTAAATAATACTTTCATCATTCTCGCTGCTTTTATAATTATGAAATTCATGTGCAATAACATATGTCTTAAATTTTATTTTGTCTCATATTAAGACAGCAGCTTTAGTATGCTATTTGCATTACGTACCTTCTTTCACTCTTTTCCTTACAATACATGGGCCTTTATATTTAAAGTACATTTCTGACAAACAGTATATAGTTTGGTCTTGCTTTTTTGAACCAAACTGACAATTTCTGCATCTTAAAATTGTAGCTTTGACTTAAAAGCAGAATAGATATAGATAAGAAAATTTAAGCTGCTACAGTTTCAGTTTCTTGGGAAGCTCAGGCAGGAGTACGGTATGAGCCCAGAAGTTTGAGGCCATAACAGTACTCTGTGATTGTGCCTGTGAATAGCCAACATACTCCAGGCTAGGTAATGCATAGAAGCCCTGCCTCTTAAAAAATAAAAGAAAGAAAAAAGAAAATAAAATATACAAACTAGAAAACAGACCTGAAGAAATAAGTGAAATGAATTCCAAATACGAAACTGGGGTTAGAAGACATGAAAACCAGATTAACATCTACTCATAGGAGTTTAGGGACAGAGTACATACAACACGGGAGGGCAAAATTTGAAAAGAAAATGGCTAAGTTTCCAGAACTGCTTAAAGACACGACTCCTCAGAGTCACTAAGCATAATGAATCCCAAACAGGATAAATAATATGCTAGACACAGAGTTTCACATTTTGTGAAACTGCAGTACACCAACGACAAAGCATCTTAAAAGCATCCAGCAAAAAACCCCACAAATCACCTACAAACAAGACAGAGTAGACCTTTTTTGTTAAATAGAAACAAAACATACCAGACAATATAAAACAGTATCTTCAAAATGCTGAGTGATAACAGCTATCAACCTGTAATTCTAGACTGAACTAAATTTTAAAGTGAAATAAAATAAAAATATTTTCAGACAAAGTCTAGAGTATTTACAATTAAGGAACCACTGCTGAAAGGACAAACCAAGGGCTCGTACTATGGTGCATTTGGATATTTCAGGGGCATTTTTGCTTTTTACAATGACTAGGGAGTTTTACTAGCATGTATCATGCACATCTGCTAGCATGTACATGAAAGCTTTTAGAAAAGGTTAATTTTCTATAATGAGTAAGACGGCCCTATACAACGAAAAACAGTCCAATCCAAATGCTGTTAGCAGTCTACTGAGAAACACAGAAGAAGGAAGACACAAGACGGGATAGTAAAGAAAAATTTTATGCCCTGTGGGTTAACTTTTAATAAATGACAAAAAATAAAAATGACAATTTATGGGTATAAACATAAAACAGAAGTAAAACACAATAAATGGCATGATTAGAATTAAAGCTTCCCAAAGTCTGTCACAGAACTATAAGTAAGTTTTAGTTAAAAATTGTATAGGTAACAACATAAGCACACAGACAAATTGAAAGTAAAAAGAGGAGAAAACATGATGCAAATATGAAGCCAAAAAAAAAACTGGGCACATTAATATCAGACAATATAGATTCTAGGGCAAAGCCATTATTATAAATGAAGATGATCATTACATAATAACAAGTACAAAACTATGTGTACCTAATAACACAATTTCAAAAGACATACTAAAAAAAGCTCATGCTATGAGGAGAAACTGTTGAACCCACTGCCATATTTGCATAGCTTTAAAAACCATCCGATTTTAACAATGGATCAAGAAGACAGATCAAGAAGATAACAGATTAAAGTACAAAGTAAATAAGTAACTACATAAGTAACAAGCTTGAGTTAATAGACACACAGCAAATTTTCCAGTCAACAAATACAGAACACATACTTTCTTCAAGCACATTTATAAAAACTGACCCTTCAGAAGAGCCGAATATCAAAAAAAATCCTACTATACAAGAATATGTTCTCTGACACTATAATTCTACAATTAAGCTGTAAAATAATAAAAAGATAACTAAGATATCCCCAATACTTCAGGATATTTAAAAAAAATCTTGCTTTAAAAATAGGTCCAGTGAAAATCATAAAACATTATTTTGGCTAACATGTCTTACCGATATAATACGATCTCCTTTTCTGAGCTCTCCACTTAGATCAGCAGGTCCTCCAGCTAAGATAAAGGAAATAAATATTCCTTCTCCATCTTCTCCTCCTACAATGTTGAAACCTAGGCCTGTTGAGCCACGATGAAGAACAACTTTTCTAGGTTCCCTAAAAATTAAAAAAATATTCAGTATCTTATATAAAACCTGACATTTTATCAGTGATAATTATCTATTGATAATTTTTATATTATCAAACTACTAAGAAAGCTAGACAAAATATAAATGTTTTTTCCTAAAACTACAGGATAAAGAGATTCAAAGCCCACGAATTGAAGGAAAAAATTTAACTTTATATAAAAGCAAAAAACCTGTGTTATAGAAAACAGAAATGAAACCAAAATGAAAAAAACAATATGGAAATTTAAAAGTAATAACATAAAGAACTTATCAGGAAATACATAGACTCATGAAAAACTGATGTTGTACACACTTCACTGCCTTCAAAGCAATCACTGCTCCTAGTTAGATGTTTCAAAGGCAGCTATCCTTTTGTATTAGAGAAGATAGGCCCTTTCTCTGGTCTCAAAGGGATGAATCATAACCATCCTATATAAGTCACTGCAATCCCATGCCCCTTTGTTAAAGTTAGGGTATAACCCCATTCTAACCTCTGGTAAATGCAGGGAAATTTTACTGTCATTTTCTAAAGTCAGATAGACCCTAATAAGGACAAAACATTATTACTACGTTCCTTTCCTCAAAAAACAAAACAGAACAAAACAAAATAAACAAAACCCCACATAACTGAATAATAAAATCCCTTTACTGGTTTCAACATACTATAATCAGGAAGGTGAAACCAAGAGTATACCAAAGACACCGTGGACCTAAGATTGCTATACCAACCCTGGAATCACCCATCTTCAGGCTTTTTATATGAAATAATTAAACCTATTTGCAGGGGCACAGGTAGGTTTTACCATATTGGTGATGTTGTATTTCCTATATTAGATGGTGAATTCCGGGTTTAGTGTTCCTGTTATGCTTTAAAATACATATGAATTAAGAATTTTTTATTAGGATATTATACTTGATTAAAAAATACTCAGCTAAAATTCAACAGTATTTCCAGGGGAAAATACATTCTGATTTTCAAATAATATAAGTACATGAAAAAGTGCTCAACATCACTAGTCACTAGGGAAATAGATATAAAAATAGTGAGATACTTCAGGCCTACTAGGATAGCTATAAAAAAACACAAAACAAAAAGTAACAAGTCTTGATGAGGATGTCAATAAACTGCAACTCATAGTGAGAATATAAGCTGCAGGCACCACGGAAAACAGTTTAGTGGTTCCTCAAAAAGCTAACACAGAATTACCATATGACCCACAATTCCACCTTTACATATATATCCTAAGTAACTGAAAGCAGTGATTTGAATAGATACTTGCATGTCAGTATTTGTTACAGCATTATTCACAATAACCAAAAGGTGAAAATAACTCAAGGGCTCACCATTAGATGAACAAACAAAATGTAGCATATACGTATAATGGAACAGTCTTGTCATAAAAAGGAATGAAATTCTGATACATGCTAACTAATGTATCTTGAAAACATTAAGTGAAATAGGGCAGTCACAAAATGATAAATATTATATGGTTCCACTTATATAAACTATCTAGAATAGGCAAATTCATAGACAGAAAGTGATTAAAGATTACCAGGGACTGGGAATATAGTAGGAGGGGGAATTATTGCTTAATGGTCACAGAGTTTGTGTGAAGTAATGAAAAGGTTTTGCAAACAGTGATGGATGCACAAAACTGTGAATCTAATTAACATTATTGAATTGTATACACTTAAAAATAGTTAAAATGCCAAATTTTATGTTATATATTATTTCACTACAATTTTAAAAAACTGATGTAATATACCACAAATTGAATTGTTTAAGCATTTTTTTTTTGAGACTGAGTTTCGCTCTTGTCACCCAGGCTGGAGTGCGATGGTGCGATCTAGGCTTACTGCCACCTCCATCTCCCAGGTTCAAGCAATTCTCCTGCCTAAGCCTCCTGAGTAGCTGGGATTACTGACATGCACTACTACGCCCAGCTAATTTTGTATTTTTAGTAGAGACGGGGTTTCTCCATGTTGATCAGGCTGCCCTCGAACTCCTGACCTCAGGTGATCTGCCCGCCTAGGCCTCCCAAAGTGCTGGGAGTGATCCACTGTGCCCAGCCCTGAATTGTATATTTTATACAGGTAAAATTTTTGGCACATGATTCATATCTCAATAAATCTATTAATAAATAAACCTTAGAACCAACGTGTAGGTATGTTGTGATTTTTTTTCACTTTTTTGATATTGGTAATTTCTGAAAGACTGCTTACGGTTGGCCAGGCACAGTGGCTCACGCCTGTAATCCCAGCACTTTGGGAGGCCAAGGCGGGCAGATCACGAGGTCAAGAGATCGAGACCATCCTTGCCAACATGGTGAAACACCATTTCTACTAAAACATACAAAAACTAGCTAGGTGTGGTGGCGCATGCCTGTAGTCCCAGCTAGCAGGAGAATTGCTTGAACCTGGGAAGTGGAGGTTGCCGATATTGTGCCACTGCACTCCAGCCTGGCTCCTGGTAACAGAGCAAGACTCTGTCTCAAAAAAAAAGAAAAGACTGTTTACGGTCAAATTGTGAAGAACTTCTAATGTCTGGGCAAACATTCTGTACTTCATTATCACAAAGTACTGTGATTATCAAAAGGAAGTGGTAAAACACATACCATTTTAAGAAGACATATCCAGTAATGAACCACCTAAGTTTCACAGAAGAGTTTGAAAACAGGTAGTCCTGTTATACAATAATACATCAAAGTCCAATGCAGTATTCTAGACAAGAAATTCAACTGAAGAAGCACGAGGAACAGCAATCAAGGTGCAAATATAACTTATTTTTTAGTTTGCAAAAATATACAAAGAGATTAAAGATTAGATAAGCCATTCGGTATTATAGTTTCCCTCTTGACTGCCTTAAATAGGCACTATTAGAAAGTAACAAAAATAAATGGCCATGAAAGATCACTCTACAAACACTGCCTGAAGACTAGCAGCCTTGGATATTCCTATCACAAACAAATAAGAACACTATTCTTTCTGCTAATTTTCATCCCAAACACAATTACTGACAACGATTAAGTTTCCAACATTGCTAATTTCTGCTAATTTCATCCCAAACACAATTACTGGCAACCTATTAAGTTTCCAACATTGCTAATTCTTTATGAAAGAAAAGAGACAAACAAACACTCATATCTGTCTTTAAGATCACTGCCTAGAATCAGAAGTCTGGTAAGTAAAAAATAGTAATAATGCTAATAATGTAATCAATAAACATAAAAACACACATTACTTGGCACAGATTTTAATGTTAAATCTACAATATACATGTACAAATTATAAAGCAAACTGTACAGTGTCTTATTACTATATTGAACAATGTTACATGTACAAATTATAAAGCAAACTGTACAGTGTCTTATTACTATATTGAACAATGTGAAAAAGATCTACAATGTTTCTTCACCCATTTTTTTCTACCTCATTAGAATTCTTTGAGACTAAAAAGACAATTTATAAATTTCAGTGCAGTTAGTAATTTTAGATGAAAGTAAATTCTGTGTGTCAGAATATCAAGAATACATAGCAAACCAACCAACCAACCCACCAGCAGCCAGGTATAGGGGCTCATGACTGTAATCTTAGTACTTAGAGAGGCAGATAGAGGAGGAAAGCTTGAGTCTAGGAGTTCAAGGCTGTGGTGACTTATGATCACACCACTGCACTCCAGCCTGGGCAAGAGTAAGACCCTGATGCTAAAACCAAACCAAACCCACCATTTGTTGAATTCTGAACACAAATTAAATAACTGCCATATTTTTATGGTATATATAAGAAATACATAAAATGTTAGTTTAAATATGCATAAGAATTTTCTTAACTTAGTTTTTCTAAGCTAATTCCTAAGGACAATTTACCAAGCCTTAAAGAAAAGCAGTAATAATTTTTAAAAAAGAGCAGTAATTTATTTGTAAAAATAAAACATTTGTATATTTCAGGCTCTTCAGTGAATCCTCCAAAGGGAAAAATAAAGCTTTAAGCTCATTAACTGTCAATAAAACTTTTTAGCCCTAAAAATTGTGGCTGTTACATGGCTGATTAAAATTCAACTTAATAGTTGATTTTATGCAAGAAGAATGAATGTTAAATTCCTTACCTTGTAATTTCATCATCTCCAAGCACTGCTTTAGAAACTGGTGAGTATCTGGCTGGTGATGCTGGTGTCTGGCCCAGGAAGGAAGATGGGCTAACATGGTTATCAACAGGCTGAGAAGAAGCTTCAAAACAAAGACAGTGAAAAATTACTTTAAAAATGAAACAAGCCCATTAGTATTCCACTTATGAGTGATTAATGTGTAATTTATTTCACTCCTTTGTATATCAGAATTTGGTAGAGAATATTTAATCATCAGCTAAAAAACTGGATGTTATGTTGCCCAGGTTAGTCTCAAACTCCTGTCCTAAAGTAATCCTCCCACCTCAGTCTCCCAAAGTGCTGGGATTGCAGGCAAAAGCCACCACACCCAAATGAATTGCTATTTTAAAGAATTACATAAAGTCTAAATGTGATTGTGAATAATAAAAACCAGAGGCTTTCCAATAAGTTTGAAAAGACTATGTCCTTATATTAGCTCAAATCTGTCAACCTAATTTCTATCTATCCCTTTAAATTCACCCATAAAAGAATAAAAACCTCGTAAAAAGCAGAAATGAAAAATAAGCAAAAACCATCCAGGCGTAGCGGCTCATGCCTGTAATCCTAGCACTTTCAGAGGCTGAGGCAGGTGGATCACCGGAGGTCAGGAGTTCCAAGACCAGCCTGGCCAACATAGTGAAATCCTGTCTCCACCAAAAAAAATACAAAAATTAGCCAGGTATGGTGGCACAGTGTGTAGTCAGTTACTTAGGAGGCTGACATGGGAGAATTGCTTGAACCTGGGAGGTGGAGGCTGCAGTGAGCCAAGACTGCACCACTGCACTCCGACTTAGGTGACAGAGTGAGAGCCCACTCCCCCGTCTCAAAAAAAAAAAGAGGCAAAAATCATCCACTGGTTGATTATAACAGTAATAAATACCACATATAGATTTTCATTATAGCAAAAGCTAAGAATAGAAAATTATGATGTAATTCCTGACCATGCTTTCCAAAGACCCAGACAGCTAACAAATGGCAGTAGTCGCTTACATAGACACAAGACAGTTGAATTACTCCAATCATTACCAAAACATACAGGAAGCAATATTTAACTTTCTTGAGGCTCTAACTCTGATAAAGTTACAAAGCACTTCAAAAGTAGCTGTATTATTTAATTACCAAACATCAGTCTCTTTTTTAAATTAAATTAGAGAGTATCTTCTATGGAGAGAAGCACTATATTACAGACTGGAGTACAAAAAAGCAGGACACATAAGTTGAAATTACTATATTGGCCAGATAGGTAACATAAAGGAATAAAGTGATCTGAATGAAAGACAATAGGAAAAGACTTAAAATATGGTATTTTAGAGGTGTAGTGTATCTATTGATACTACAGGTTTGTAGTACTCAAAGGCAACTGTTTCCTATCCAGTTCATATATAAGATGCTCTTCTGTATTTGAGCCAAAGGACTTTCTACCAATAACTTTTAGTTTTGAAAGTCCAGTCTTTACTGGGTGCTAACTAAGAATATGCGATTTTTAAGTGAACTGGTATGTGGCCCTCAATCAATAGATACCAATGTGAACCTCTACAATTACTAGCCTTTTAAAAATCCAGTTTACTGATTTTTGATTTTATTTTTTTATTGTACTTTAGATTCTGGGGTACATGTACAGACCATGCAAGACTGCTGCATAGGTACATTCATGGCAAGGCGGTTTGCTGCCACCACCCCTCGATCACCTATACCTAACATTTCTCCCCACATTATCCTTTCCCTGACCTCCCTCCCACTATCCCTCCCGTAGCCCTCCCCAACAGACCCCAGTGTGTGATGCTCCCCTCTTTGTGTCCAAGTGTTCTCATTGTTCAACACCTGCCTATGAATGAGAACAGGTGGTGTTTCATTTTCTGTTCTTCTGTCAGTTTGCTGAGAATGATGGTTTCCAGGTTCATCCATGTCCCTACAAAGGACACAAACTCATTTTTTATGACTGCATAGTATTCCATGGTGTATATGTACCACATTTTCTTTGTCCAGTCTAACACACTGATGGGCATTTGGGTTGGTCCCAGGTCTTTGCTATTGTAAACAGTGCTGTGATGAACATGCATGTGCATGTGTCTTTATAATAGAACAATTTATAGTCCTTTGGGTATATACCCAGTAATTGGATTGACGATTCAAATGGAATTTCTATTTCTAGGTCCTTGAGGAATTGCCACAGTCTTCCACAACGGTTGAACTAATTTACACTCCCACCAACAGTGTAAAAGTGATCCTATTTCTCCACATCCTCTCCAGCATCTGTTGTCTCCAGAATTTTTAATGATCGTCATTCTAACTGGCATGAGACGGTATCTCAATGTGGTTCTAATTTGCATCTCTCTAATGACCAGTGACGATGAGCATTTTTTCATGTTTGTTGGCTTCATGTATGTCTTCTTTCGAAAAGTGTCTGTTCACATCCTTCACCCACTTTTGGATGGGTTTTTTTAATTGTAAATCTGTTTCAGTTCTTTGTAGATTCTGGATATTAGCCGTTTGTCAGATGGGTAGATTGCAAAAATTTTTTCCCTTTCTGTTGGTTGCCGGTTTCCTCTAATGATTGTTTCTTTTGCTGTACAGAAGCTCTGAAGTTTAATTAGATCCCATTTGTCTGTTTTGGCTTTTGTTGCCATTGCTTTTGGTGTTTTAGTCATGAAGTCCTTGCCTATGCCTATGTACTGAAAGGTTTTGCCTAGGTTTTCTTCTAGGGTTTTTGTGGTGTTAGGTCTTATGTTTAAATCTTTAATCCATTTGGAGTTAATTTTTGTATAAGGTGTAAGGAAGGGGTCCAGTTTCTGCTTTCTGCACATTGCTAGCCAATTTTCCCAACACCATTTATTAAATGGGGGATCCTTTACCCATTGCTTGTTTTTGTCAAGTTTGTCAAAGATCAGATGGTTGTATATGTGTGATGTTGCTCTGGAGGCCTCTGTTCTGTTCCATTGGTCTATGTCTCAGTTTTGACACCAGTACCATGCTGTTTTGATTACTGTTACCTTGTATTATAGCCTGAAGTCCAGCAGCATGATGCCGCCAGCTTTGTTCTTTTTGCTTAGGATTGTCTTGTCTATGCAGGCTCTTTTTTTGGTTCCATATGAAGTTTAAAGTGTTTTTTTCCAGTTCTGTGAAGAAGGTCATTGGTAGTTTGATGGGGATAGCATTAAATCTATAAATTACTTTGGGCAGTATGGTCATTTTCACAATATTGATTCTTCCTAACCATGAACATGGAATGTTTTTCCATCTGTTTGTATCTTCTTTTATTTCCTTGAGCAGTGGTTTGTAGTTCTCCTTGAAGAGGTCCTTTACCTCCTTTGTTAGTTGTATTCTTAGGTATTTTATTCTTCTTGTAGCAATTATGAATGGGAGTTCACTCTTGATTTGGCTCTCTGTTTGTCTGTTACTGGTGTATAGGAATGCTTGTGATTTCTGCACATTGATTTTGTATTCTGAGACTCTGCTGAAGTTGCTTATCAGCTTAAGGAGATTTTGGGCTGAGACGATGGGGTCTTCTAAATATATAATCAATTCGTCTGCAAATAGAGACAATTTGACTTCCTCCTTTCCTAATCGAATACCCTTTATTTCTTTTTCTTGCCTGATTGCTCTGGCTAAAACTTCTACTATATTGAATAAGAGTGGAGAGAGAGGGCATCCATCTCTAGTTCCAGATTTCAAAGGTAATATTTCCAGTTTTTTTCCATTCAGTATGACATTGGCTGTGGGTCTGTCATAAATGGCTTTTATTATTTTATGATATATTCCATCAATACCTAGTTTATTAAGAGTTTTTAGCATAAAGGGCTGTTGAATTTTGTCAAAGGCCTTCTCTGCATCTATTGAGATAATGACATAGTTTTTGTCTTTGTGTCTATTTATGTGGCGGATTACGTTTATGGACTTGAGTATGTTGAACCACACCTGCATCCCTGGGATGAAGCCTACTTAATCATGATGGATAAGCTTTTTGATGTGCTCTTGCAATCAGTTTGCCAATATTTTATTGAGGATTTTTGCATCTATGTTCATCATGGATACTGGCCTGAAGTTTTCTTTTCTTGCTGAGTCTCTGCTGGGTTTTGGTATCAGGATGATGGTCTCATAAAATGAGTTGAGGAGAATTCCCTCTTTTTGTATTGTTTGGAATAGTTTCAGAAGGATTGGTATCAGCTCCTCTTTTTATGTCTGGTAGAATTCAGCTGTGAACCTGTCTGGACTTGGACTTTTTTTGGTTGGTAGGCTGTTAATTGCTGCCTCAACTTTAGCCCTTATTATTGGTCTATTCAGGGTTTCAACTTCTTCCTGGTTTAGTTTTGGGAGCGTGCAAGTGTCCATGAATTTATCTATTTCTTCCGGGTTTAATGGTTTATAAGCACAGAGTTGTTTGTAGTAGTCTCTGATGGTAGTTTGTATTTCTGTGGGATCGGTGGTGATATCCCTTTTATCGGTTTTTATTGCATCTATTTGAATCTTCTCTTTTCCTTTTTATTAATCTGGCTAGTAGTCTGTCTATTTTGTTGACCTTTCTGAAAAACCAGCTCCTGGATTTGTTGATTTGAAGGTTTTTTTTGTGTCTCTATCTCCTTCATTTCTGCTCTGATCTTAGTTATTTCTTGTCTTCTGTTAGCTTTTGAGTTTTTTTTGATCTTGCTCCTCTAGCTCTTTCAATTTTGATGATTGGGTGTCGATTTTAGATCTTTCCTCATTTCTTGTGTAGGCATTTATATTGCTAGAAATTTCCCTCTAGACACTACCTTAAATGTGTCCCAGAGATTCTGCTTTGTTGTGTTCTTGTTCTCATTGGTTTAGAAGAAACCTTCATTTCATTGTTTATCCAGTCAACATTTAGGAGCCAGTTGTTCAATTTCCATGAAGTTGTGTGGTTTTTGAGTTAGTTTCTTAATCCTGAGATCTAATTTGATTGCACTGTAGTCTGAGAGACTGTTTGTTATGATTTCCATTTTTCTGCCTTTGCTGAGGAGTGACTTACTTACAATTATGTGGTCAATTTTAGACTAAGTGCAATTTGGTGCTGAGAAGAATGTATATTCTGTGGCTCTGGGGTGGAAAGTTCTGTAGATGTCTATT